CGGATATCATAAAAATTTATTATAAGGGATGCAAATTGAACTTATCTAAATGGCAAAACTATATCTGTGATATGGCAACTGAAAAATATAAAAAAGACAAGGGATCTGAAATAAGAACAGAATAGTACTGGAATAAAAAGAAATAACCTAGTCTTTCTGCCTGGCTAGTAGGCTGCAGATACATTGTGACTCAGACGAAAATTGAAATATTTTACGGAATTAAAATGCCTAATAAATTACAAATATTACCTCGAAGGAAAGAAAATATTGGACAAAATTAATTTGGATATTTGACCAGGTCGCGACACAGGTCATAGAGCGAGTCTTCATTTTCTGTTAAATTTTTTTAAATTTCTGAATACGTATTGGGACGATCGCTGAATTAGTAAAGGTGGAACACGTCCCTAGCCACCGAGATCACCGGATTTCACACTCTTAGATTTTTGTATTTGATGAAGGATGAAGTCGTTTTAAGCGAAAAAAGTGGACACATATTAACTTCAAAATTTGCTCTTCATTTGACTTTCTTTACATATCCATAAAACATTTCAATCTCCTGAATCAACCTGTCAATCAATCTCTTTTCCTCTTGAATCCCGAAGAACTGAAGTTACTTTTATTTTGGTTTTTTCTGTTTCAAAACTTCATACTCAGAACTAATAAAAAATCTTAGAGAAATGCGATGGCGTAATATGAAAATAATTATTGACGATTAGAAAACTTTTATTGTAAATTCTTCATACTGACGCGCTTATTCTAGCAAAATCGGAGCTGAGATGTGAGTTAGCAGACAATTGCAGATTTTTTTCGAGCCACACGATTTTTCATATAGAAACGCAATTTGATGTTATCTGTTAACGTGGCAGTTCCATTTTCAACTTAATATTTTATGACGGGTTGGAAATAAACGTACACATTATTTAAAAGCATATATTTTAGCACCTTACCGTGATATGTCAGGTTTGGTAAGTGGTTGCGTGACTTTGATGAAAATTTAATGTATGTTACTGTAATGTTTAAATAAATGTACGTTTCAGGATTTTAAAGCAGCATATGCTACTTTTTACTTTTATTTTTTATGTGCTTTCACATAGTTCCATTTCAATTTTTTCAACTTAAACTTAATTTTTTTATTTGGTGTTTTTTCCTCAAAATATATAAGGTGTTTATTCAACCAAATGAAATAGAGGTGCATTTCTCTAGGTATGCAATTGTGCAATCCTTTTAATTTAAGGTTGCTACATGTTCAAAAACATCCAGAAAAAGCAACCGTCAAACATTGAAATACTTACTTAGGATCAGACGTATTTTGTCGTACTATATGAAGTATACATTTTCTCAATCTCTTATTGAATACATATAAAACTTAGAAGATTTGTATAAATAGAACTTTAGTGAACATTGCTTGAAACTCAAAGCATTTATAACGCTTTGATCGTCTTAGGCTTCGGTTGTGATTTATTTTAAACTTCTACTTTTAGAACCGCCAATTGCATTTTCCGACTGAGATTAAAATAAAACGCACTAAACTTAAAACATTCACCACACCTTCTCAAAGTCTTTATTACATTCAGATCCAGAATTGCCGTCTAGTTTTTCTTTTTTCAATGTGCTCAGTTTTTGTTTTAAATTACTATTTGAACTTATTTGATTGTTGAATGTTTTTTTCTCTGCCGCAAATTTGTGACTTGAGATTTAGGGATATTTCAGTAGTTGGAGAAATACATTTTTGGTCAGATTGCTTGCATGAACTTTATCAATATGATTTGTGCCACCTTGTATTCGCTTCGGAAAGTGTCTAAATATATTTAGAACTATATATTTGGGCCAGTGAGTAAAGTGCTTTACCAGCAAGATTGCGAGTTTTTCTTAWYTATTTCAAATTCAWACAATTTATCAGGATTTTAAATTAGGGAAAAGCAATGTTTTAAATTCTGGTTAAGGTTGATAATTCATTTGGGCAAACAAACTTYATGTACCTACACCGTTGTTTTACTTCGCTTTAGTTTTTAGGAGTATTTCGTATTGYTTWTTCGAGTTCGGAGTWWTCGTATCGTTTMCWATCACGATTTTATTAAGAGCGTTAATTCAGGTTGTTTTACTCTTTAGGCGGCTGAGAGCTGACATGCTTTTATTTTTCCATATCCGTTAATTTACAGAAATAATCGTTGGCGCCTGGACTTTTAAGTTCATCAGTTTCGTTACTTTCTTGGCGGCTCTGATTAAAACTGGTTGGGATTAATCTGTTTTATTTAATTCCGCATTCCAGTTTCCCTATTCTGTTGCCGCGAAGCTCCTTCTCGTCGTCTGGGTATTTCCTTACTTTGGTTTTTGTTAGAGTCTTTTATTGATGAGGGTCAAATAAGTTCAGCTTTCAAGCTATTTCCGTGTTATAAAATTAAAAAAAAATGTTTTATTATATTTCAGTTTTACTTTATACTTCTTGAAAGTTCGATTAAATTGTTCTTTTAAGTACATATATATAAAACTCAGAAGTTACCGTTACTATAGACATCCTATACTCATATTAAAGTACAGTAACCACCTGAATGAGTTGAAAAAAGCTTATAAATAAAAATTGCCCCATATAATTTACATTCTGCTGTGTAGGTATTCGAGTGATTACATGGGACATATTTATTAAAGAAGTTTTCAAATTTTGGAAAATAAATGGTTTTACCTCGAACTGCTTTATTGCTTGATGGATTTTTCCTCTTAAATCATTCGCAATCGAAACTAGAGCGGCATTAGAAAAATATGAAAAAAGTCCTAAAATAAAAGATAATATAGGAATAGGAATTAATTTTAGAATAAGCTAAAGCTCTAAGACACATATGTACTACACAAGGGCAGAAAGACGGATTGGGTCGATAGCCTTTTTCTGTAGGAAATAAAGATTATTTATATATGGATATATATATATAAAAGACAATAATTAAGGAGATGCTTTTTAAGTAAAAAAAAATCATGACTGCAGCGCAAATCCAAGACTAATCATTTTAGCAATGCTATTAATAAAACACACACATTGAAATTAATACAAGCAAATTTCTGACCAAAAATCGCAACATACTGGACTCCCACTGTTTAAGTCTTGACTGCTGTGGCTGCTGAAGCAGAAACACCCTCCCCGAAGCAATTCCAAATAAAAATGTCCATGTAAATATTTTTGTTTACTTTCCGATATAGAAACGGTATTGTGAAGGTTCTATTCTTTATGTGCAATGAATTTAAGGTTGACAGATTGGCTCTTTTTATGCGAAACCCATTTTTTCCCATGGATTTAGGACTGCGGAGCATTAATCATAATCATGAAATATTTCTAATCTAGAAAAATAATCCAAAGCTTTATGCTTTTGTTCGACTAACCTTTAGCGATAAACCTTTTGATTTGGTTATTATACAGGGTGTCCCGTAAGCATATGATCAAAAGGCTTATTCTTAGCATCAAAAGAAGACGATCTGACCTAACTAGCAGTTAATGTTAATGCAATTGTTAAGTGGTATATTTTTTTTGTGCAAAAACTATGAATTCTACAAGATTTTACAAAGAGCACAAAATTGCGAATTATTGAAATTATTAGTGCACGAACAAAAAATATTATTTGATTCCATCCACTGAATAAAAAGTTCTGGCAATTTTTGTACCACGACACTCAAGAATTCACCACTTGTCCAAAGCGGCTGAACTCGATTGTTAAATGAAAATATGAGTCTTACATAAGAACAAATTTACAGTGAGTTTTACCAACATACATCGTACCATTCTTTCGATATTTCAAAAATGATATATTTTTTTAAGAACTTTGACCATCAATAGCAGGGGAGCCAGACATTTTTTGTTAATAAAAGTTAGGTCAGATTGTCTTCTTTTAATCCAAAGAATACCACAGTACTTTTTTGATCATGTGTTTACGGGACACCCAGTATATATTTAAACACTCGATCAATTTAAATCTATTTTTACTTTAACAAGCAAAATAATTGCTTGAGCTGATTGATTTAATTATTATTTTAGGCGCTTCATGCTCTTTCAGTGAGCAATTATAGATGATTTCTTATTTCGATAATTCTATAGAAAACAAGCCAGAAAAAACAAAATCCGCTTTAACTGTAATTAAACACCCAAGAACTGTTATTTATTAGTGTCTGTATATGTTGGTAACTGTTGAACTTATATCCTTCTTAGCTGGATGTAATGTTCATCGGTAGAAAGCAAACAATACCTACATAAATATTTGATGAGCATTTATTTTCTACTTAATCATAACATACATATTATTTGACATGGGATATTGGTATAATAAAACAAACACGAGCAAATGGCTCGACACTATCCAGATTAAATTTGCGTAAAGCTAATGAATAATCATCCCAAATAGATTACACAGACAGACATTCTCTTTGTGGCGTTTATCTAACATAGCGTTAAATAATTTTGGATTTTTAGCTTTGCTAATTATTAGCCTGTTTATTAGATTAATTTAATATATTTGATGTTAAATAGTGGAGTTTACAAGTAAGAATTTTTGTACTAATAATTAATTTGGTTGAAATAGTTGCTTCAAAATTTACGGCTGTGAAAAGAGGGTGGTTTTCTCGRGTTTTTTTTTAWATTATAAATTGATAATGAGYAKATTTATACAATTTATTTGGACGTAAGACCCAAAAAGTTAAGTWTTTYCGACTAGAATGATCCGAAAYCTCAAATATTTACTTTTATCCATAAAAAGCTGAGCGAGTTTTGATCATTCAAGGCMAAWCTTTTTGGCGTGCGCCTTCAGAGACAGACACAAACAGAAGCAGTTGAAGCTCGAGTAATAAAATWCCATKSGRAATATCCCAAACCTTAGTGTACGGTTAATTGCTGCACAAGAATTTCAAAAAGTTCAGTAGRCGAGGKTTTGAAAGAACAGCTCCTGAATCTGCACAATGYTTAAAACGTCCKGACTTTAAGTTGCGACGATCCTTAAACTTGACTAAATTWGTGCRATAGGATCATGGAACTGCATAGTCAGGACGAAAATTGTCAGAAAAAATTGCTTTTAACAGATGAAACTGGACTTGGAAGTGATAGATTATTCAACGAGGACAATGAGCATAAATGCTGTGATGATAATTCTTATTTTACCTTTGATAGAAAGTTTCCAATCGATTTTTTTGTGAATGTCTGATCAGGCATACATAGTTGGATCATAATTAAAACAATATACTAAATTTTTTAAAGAAATTAGTTGCTAATTCTTTTGAAAGTGACATTCATATTAAAAATKTCACGTGGTTATTTGATCGATTTTTGAASAAAATATCYACAGAAAATTGGAAAGAACTAGGCAGGTGTGAAAAGTGGGCTCCCAAGTCAYCCGATTTAAACCAGATGGATTTTTCCTTTTGAGGCTATCCWGAAACTTTAGTATTCCACACTGTCGTGGGTAACKTTGAACAGCTAGACAGCGTYTAAAAAATAGACRAAAGAAAGGAATATTGTTTAGAGGGYGTCGTAACTTTTTAAGACGAATTATTTTATTCATAGAAGATGATTCAAGAGAGACTCGATTTTGAAAAATTGTAATACAATTTTGATCGATGGAGTTAAATCTGTTAATTATATGACATTTACTTTCACAAAAATTTATGTGAAATTTTTTCAATTTGTAATTGGAAATTACCTCTTATTAAAAAAGTGCAACATATTGTTCAAAAAATTACGTTTTGTTCGAAAATGGTTTATTTGTGTTGGGTTTTTATAGATTCTTTTGCTAATAACGCAGAACGTTATGGCTTTTTATAGCACCAAACTCAGGGGTAAATCTCAAATTCATTATTCATATTAAGCAGAATTTCTAAGAAGTACAAGAAATTTAAAAATGATGGCAAAACAACAAAAATACTTAATAAATATTATTTCATAAATGTAAATTCAAGGCCCTACAAAATTTGGGAAAATTCTTTTCGAACTTTATATTTTCATCATATTTCATTCATACTTTAATTTTTCATTGATGCTGCGGTGTATATTGCGAAATTTATTCGGACGATGATTTTGAACCAATAATCAAGCAAGAATTGGAGAACATATTTAGACTCATACAGAACATATTAAAATTAAATACTGTAATTAGAAATGAAGAATCGAATATAATCCTGTTAACTATTTAATATGGATAGTTCGACTTTTGAGTATAATTAAAAAAATGAGTACTTACAGTTTTCTACTTAGAGTTCCATAGGATAAAAATGAAAATATTCTAAAAATATATTTTTAACATTTTAACACAATTTTAATTTTTGTGTAAGTGAATGATAATTGTAAGTAGATTTAAGCAAATCATCAAATATATCAATAAGTATAAAGGTGCATACTTATTTTAATTCAACAAAATGATTTTGTTAATGAGTTCTGAATGATTAAAATCGTTAAAGCACTCCATTGTTATTTGTGACAATATATGTGTGATTTATGAAACTGTATATTTGTATTGAATGATTGATGTTCTTTCAGCAGTTTATTTATTGTTTTGTAGTGTTTTTGATAGCCTAAATTGTTTGTTAGTCTATTTTAATTCTGTTTCAATTGGGGATTTTCAAATTAAGGAAATATCTGAAAATGGAAGTATTCATACAGTTGTTCGAACCTAAAAGTGGTATTATTAACAGCTTTTCTGTTATTCAAATTTAAATTATTGCAAATTGTAGTCGATATTCCGTATAGACTGTGCACAAAATTATTTTTTGCTTAATGGGACAATTTGCATATGCTGGTTTTCCAAGTAAAAATGTTTCGAAATAAGGTAGAAACGAGATAATAATTTAAAAATTTAAATTTTGTTAAAAATATTTTGAACGGAAATCGGGAATATTATATTATTTTCCAAGGGCAAATGAAATTAATGTTTTCTTTAAATTCAAGCCATCGCATTCCCCAATTTCCATGAGAACTGCAAATACCTCATCGATAAATCTCCATTAAATCAGTAGTTTGAAATAGTAATTTCTACAAAGTTTGATTCGAAATGTTCCACAAAAATATTAAAAGTTTATAGAAAATGGTCAATTTTTTGAAAAAAAAATTGTTAAATTGAAAATAAGTTAATTTTCCACATACGTTTTATTTGTGTGTTCTAAATGTGTAACCCTAAAGAAACTCAAGTGATCCATCAACAAAATGTCGAGGGTTTCAATTTCATCGTAATACGGAACCAGATGGTTTTCAATATATGTATTATACGCGGAAATGTTTTTTTACTATCTGGCAATAGAGAAAAAAGATTACAGCCGGTTTAGAGTTACTACTTGTACTTTTCTCGTCTCGAATGTTCAATTTAATTTTGATTTTTTGCTAAGTCTTAATATAAATATTAGCTGTCGAGGGTTTGCATGAAAAAAAACTGATGAATTAAAATCGTAAATAAACAGTAAATATATGCTCACGGTTGGTTTTTATTTCCATTTTTATGAAGGTTTTGCCATTGTTTACGCGTAGCCGATATATAAACCACTTAGTTGGTCTAAACTGAATATATGTGTGGCGACATTTATGTAACTGGAAATTAGGCAAATATTTGATTTATAAATGGGAAAATAAGGGACCTTTTCAGACCGATAGCCAGAGCGGCAGATCATATTTTCCGTTAATTTGTCGCAATTATCAGGCCTGTTTGCCCGTTGGAAGTGTAACGGAACGTATAAAATTTGATTATTTGCAAGAAACCGCCTGGTTTGGAACATTTTTTTGCCAACAATAGAAAATAATGGAATGAATGAGCAATTGCTGAAGGAAACTGGAATAAAATCACATAGGAATCTAATTCTCTCTAATTATTTTAGAGATCCTACTTAATTCCCTGTAAAGGTTAGTCAAACTGTCGTTAAAATTTGCATCAACTGAAACATATGGCAAACTACTGTTTAATGAATAGCACGTTGCAAGGTTCTGCCTATTTTAACTGAAAAGTATAGTTACCAACACTTTTACCCTAAACTAATAGAAATTTTAAAATTTCCGAAACCTGCAAATGTAGTCTGTTTGACTTTGTATATTGCAAATACGATAGTTCTTGGGACTTAGGAATTCAATTAATCTAACGGTACATTTCAGGTGGGTGCTCATATCATCGACCACATTGCTCAACTTGTCTGCCGAACAGAAAACAAATCTGCCTCAAACTTTAACCGAAATTACCATTCACTGTTTGTGTGAAATTTCCAGCGCCGACCATCGTTGCCACTGCAAAGGATTCGATTTTATGGATATCCCCCAAAACTTAACTCAAGGGATTACTACATTGTAAGTGTTCAACTTGTAAGGACCCTATCCATTTAACTCATAATAAGTCATTGAATTTATTTTGTTATTAATCATTTGTTTTAGTTTTGTGCCACGAAAATAATGAAAGATATTTTAGGAAATGTGTGGCTCAGTTACAGCAAAGCCTACAGATGCATCAGATGCATTTGTATTCAATTAATTTCCAGAAAGATAAATATTTTTAAGGTGAATAAATGGATGAGCGTCTGCCTTTTATTTGAAAAGATATGTTTGCCTTTTTCCAAAATCTCAATGCAAATTACTTCAAAACTAACCACCAGTTTCGTCATATTCCAGTATTCATATTGTATATTTAACGAACACTTTCAATGATAACTTTGCTGATTTAGCGTTAGCTAAACACCGAAAAGCAAACTGCAGGAAGGAATTGGATTAGGATTAAGTACAATCACGGTTTTAATTGGATAATTTCTCATAGCAATAAGCCCCCGTTTCTGTAATAGTCGTGAAATTATTAATGGCCAAGCTTGGCGAATTCGCAAATAAAAATATTAAAGCTGAAATTTGCGACTAACGACTTAACACCAGAAAAATATTAACTGCAGCGAAATATTACTCACATAACAGAAGATCACCTTGTGCCAAATAGAATGAGCTAGAAATAATGATTTACTTTAGAAACATTAAAGTTACGTTATAGTTTAAAAAAGGCACGCAAAGAAAAATGCAATGTATATTATATAATAGGTATAATTAATATATGTTAATTAAATATTTTCCTATGGCTAACTTATTAGTGATCCAGTCAGATAGATACACTATTTTTTTCTTCGATTTTAAATTATAGCAGAATTACCAAGAATGCTAGTTCATAACTATTGCGATTACCATCAGAAAGATTCATTCTGCTTCGTTGTTTGCAAAAAAAAGTATTTTTTCAATACAAAATTTTTCTTCGGACTCGGTCAAAAGCTGACGAAGTAATTTGAGTTTCTCCTCTTCAGTGCAATCCTGAGCATCCTGAACATTGGAGCATCCGACGAAATAAGCAGGATATTGCAGAAAACTTTGTAGGTGCCACTCCGTTCGCCCCGTTTATTTCTTCTGTTCAAGGCGTTAAGTGGGATGAACTAATTCTGCCTATTGAACGCAACTTCTAAACTTTTTTATGCGAAAGAAACATGTTATTATCGACGCGATTGACGAATTAATAAATAATTTTCAAACTCTATCAGTGGAAAATCATTCACCAAAGCTGAATCCGGGAACTGCTTCTGGAGCCAAAAAGTTAAATTGGGAACTGTTTAAATCGAAAATTGAATTAATTCAAGTAAACAATGTACATTGTAATGCACTAAATAAGTTTATTGAAAAATATGATAAGTTAATAAGTAGTTTTTTTCAAAGGCAACGAACTAAACCAATTAATAATTGATTCAATACCAGAAAAAATAATTAAACACTTAAAAAAATGGGAAGAAAAATTCAGGACGGGCTTACAACATTTCGGCTAGTCTAACGGATGCCGTAACATAATGATTTTCTGATGCAAGGAATATAGATTGTATTATTCAAGAACTAACCAGAACTAGTCAATACAAATTAATAAATTTGTATATTTTTGGAAATCGCCTTCAATTATTAAGAAGCAATATTGCTCAGAGAATTAGTAATGATACAATAATTCAAACTGAGAAAGTTTTTGAAATTAAACATTTTGAAATTGCATTAAGCAATTTTGTAGCTGGTTGTACTGGTGCATTAAGAAATAACCTGCATTTAAAGAAGCCAAGTAGTTTAGAAGATTCAGTTGCTTATGCAAACGAATTCTAAAACGTTGAGAAGCTTTCTGGTAATAATGACGGTGAAAAGAAAAATGTCTGAAATATATTCACATACATGCCAAATCACCACTTTTCCCAAAGATACATTTAATGAAGAATACGCTGAAGCTGATTAGAATCAAGAACAATATAGTGCTTCACTAAAGCTTCTTATCGAGACTGGAAGCAGTCGGTCTATTTTGAATCCAAAAATTGCAAAAATGTTATAAAATTTTCAACATCAAGTTATTAAAAATTTGAAAAATGGCTAATATAGCTATCGTATATGATAATTGAAAGGTGAAAAAGCGCGAGCACCAAAAATATTCATAACTTTGAGCCTGGCACAAAAATTGGAAAAGGATATTTTTTCAGGTAGGTTACTTAACGATTGCTCTATGCAAAAACTTTCCATCCTATCTTAATCGGCTTTGCGGCTCTCGTTTTGTATTCAATTCAAGCACTATTCTCTAAATATACGGCGCGATTGGATTATTTTTTATTGTTAAATAAATAAAACAATTTTAAGTTACCATGTTTTTTACATACTTTTTCGCACTTTCATGCCTTTTAACGCGAACATATCAAACCAAGGATAGCGAACAAACTTATAAGCATACATTTCTTCCCTAAAATGCATACTTATCCAGTTATATGCGATTGTTTCCAAGAAAAACGCGAATTTCACATTTTTGTTCTACTTTTTCGTTGTTTACACACATTTTCAAGTTGGCGCACCTCGATTTTTTCGAATATACCAATATTCGCTGAATTTGGAATTAAGTATGTAATTGGTTTCATATTATCCGGGTTTCAAGACTATTTCGATGGAATTATTGGCTTGTTTGACCGACAATTAATAAATATGCAACTAAGTATCGATTTGCTAATTGAAAAACTATCTAGTCACTAGATAAATATTCTGTTTAAATCAGCTAACCGGTAGAAATGGAGAATTATATGTGATTTATGAGCAAGTAAACAAAAAACAATATTGAACAAACTTAGAAAATACTTTAAAACTCGTTTTTTACAAGGGAAGAAAAGCTCAATTTAAAATTCAATTAGAAAATTTAAAATTTGGTGAACACGTTCTCACACTAACGGAATGAAACAAAATCTAAAAAAAATTACAGCTTTCTTACAATTTTTCCTGCCAAAACGAAATACAATAATTTTTTTATCAAAAAATTCACGAAAATTACAAAGTGATGAACACTGTTCATAAACAAAAAAAAAATGACAATAGATAATTTTCATAAATTCATAATAGAGTGCTGACGCATTTAATTTCGCACTCAATGAGATACGCATCAAGACCATGAAACTCTGCTGAAATAAATTGTTTCACTAATGAAAAGGAACTGTTGGTTTGGGGATGTATATATTTCTTGCCTTATTTATTTGGTAAAGAATTTACGATCCGGACAGATCACAAACTACTGAAATGGGTTTATTCTTTAAAGGAAAAGTCTCTTAGCTCGATGAAGATTGAGATTAAGTGACAATTTTTATGTCTTGTCTAGAAATTTTAATCTGAATGAACACTTTGAGCACTAGAAACAATGTCAGTCCACAACTATTCTGAAGAGGCCAATGAGAAATTTTCAAGACTCTCTTGGAAACCCAAATCAGATTCCACTTGTCCAGCATTCAAGTTTTATTGAAGAAATATTGAAATATAAGATTAGCCGACTGCGTCAATTTTAACTAAATCCTCTTTAAAATTGCTCTAAAAAACAATTTATTACGAAGGAAATACAGGAAAACGCCTGAGTACAAAGTGATTCTTCGTTATTAACATCGCAATAATGGCAAAAAATGAAGGCAAAAACAGTGTATGTAACTTCCCTAAATACAATTAGGTAATTAAGCAAGGTTCTGTAACAAACATAGGTAAAAAGACCAAGTGCTCTACTGCTTGCAACTTTTTATTGATATTTTCATCGTATAAGCGATTCTATCAATTCAAGATTAAAATTTTCGCAAACTACAACATAAACTAATTGAAAAATTATTTGCAAATTTTAATTAATTTTTGACCAAGTCATTTCAATTTAAGTTGAGAAAAATTACACCAAAAATAATACTTGAGATTTCTAAAACTGACAAAGTTACGAGCATAGTTCTGAAACAACATATTAAACAATGTTGATGATTAAGTAAGTTTCTGTACGCGAAAGAAATTGAGTTGTTTTCAAAAAACATTAGTTTTCAAGATAGCGATCTCCTTCTGCTAGCACGGCGAATCTGCTGACTGTCCTAATAAAAACAAGCGATTTATTCTCAACTTTATAAATTAATTTGTCGAGCAATTTATAAAATCGTGGCAATCCGGAGAGCTCCAGAACTTTGTTTAGTTGGGAAATTGTAAATATAATTAATAGAACTAATCTAGATATTAATGAACTGGCGAGGTTTGCTATTGTAATGCGCGAAAAGTAATCAGCATTAACTACCATGATCATCTTGAAGATACATTTAGCTATGAATAAGTTTGAATAATTTTAAATAATTGCTTTCATTGTGAAACATTGTGGTTTTTCCTTCATCTAAATATTAACTATTTATTACTTTCATTTCATAATGTTTGAAATCGAATATTAATAAAACACATTTATTGAGTCGTGGTAAAATTGGACCATAAAGCAATATTCCAATCTGAAAACATAAATGTATATCGTATAAAGATTAAAATTAATATTATTAATAAAAATCCCTGGAGCATGAAACTGACAATAACAAAATTTGTGTTTGAACTTTCGTCATTTAAACTCGGCATTTTATTAATTTTTAGATCCATTGAAAATGCCGGCTTGGAAGTTTTGAAAAGCGATTCTTTGACAAGGTATTCGGATACGCTACACGAACTGTAAGTACTGTTTTATTACTTTTGGGTGCTTTGTTCATATTTGATTTTATTTAGACGGCTTGCACAACCCACAAGTATCCTTTCGTGAGTTGCATTTCTGCATAAAATAGAAGCAGAATGTTACAGCGATTGCATCTCTAAAGTATTTTGGAATTTTAAAGAATATTAGCTTATTCATGGCTCAAGTTGCTTGAGATTTCCGCAATTTACTGTTAAAAAGGAATGCCAACATTGTATTGTGGATTTAACTTATTTATACAGTAGTTCACACATAAAAGTTAATCGCTTTATTATTTTTGCATAAAGCTTGACTCAATTCACAATGACCTGAATTGAAATGCATACATTTGCACATTGCAAACAGCCTGATTGCTTGAAAATGAATGAGCCTGTTATGCTCTTGACCCGACAAGCCACTCGAATGCAATTAATCAAAAATACAGGAAAAATAATTCCACTATTTATTTTTGATTTTGCTCAAATATGCCGACTGTTTACTTACTATTTACAAGCTGAAGCTGGGCGGTTAATGAGGCATTTACTGCACACCGGTTCTTGTATTACAAAAACATGGGTGCCAAAAAATGATAAATTAGACACGTTTCTGCGGCTTGAAACGGAGGAAGACGTTAAAAGTTTAGCCAATTAGCTAAATGTTGAAAAACGCTTCGTTAGTAGAAGTAGGTTATTAGAAAATTCTTGTCCGGATACTTTTAAATTTTGTTAACTTCGATTGACTTAGATATTTTTATGTCACGCCTTAATACGAACACGCAAACAAGTAATTTTCTTTTAACGTTGATTGCCGGACATAAAAACAGCTATGATGTCGCCGAAGTCTACATGAATTTTGGATTAAATCAATCTGAAACGTCCGAAGTTGGAAAAAGACAATCTTTTTGCAAGTGAATGGGTCAATATCAGGGCAGTGAAAATAAACCTCGTAAATCGGCAGATACTTTGCTAAGGAAGCAAATCTATTACGGGATTGATGTGTTTTTCATTTCGGACCGAATAAACTGTATTTCATTTAATAATTGATACTGTAACGGAGTTTTGAGAAAATAAAACTGTTCAGATAGTGGAAAGAAGTGTAGTTTTTGCTTGACTGTTCCAAATGTATTGGCCATCGATCGCCGGATTTTTGGATCAAAGCATTTCAATTTAAATGAAATTTGGCTTGTAATTTTCGAACAATTTAATCAAGGTAGTTGCTAAGGATGGAAATGATAAAAAGGAGGAAAGTTGCTCAATTTTAAAGCAAATTGTATTTTAAGGCCCAAAATAAAATGCACCCTTCTTTTTTCAAAAAAATACTTTCCAATAAGAAAAATATGTTTCATCCGCAACATCCTGTAACAATATTTTCATTCTTATATCGGATATGAATGTTGAGCACTAACGGCAGACAGTAAAACTCTAGAATTTTCCGCAATTGATAACACAATTGAGGTTTTTTGGTTATCGACTTCTGAAGCTGATTAAGATATCTGAGCTGAGAAATCACCACTAAGAGACGACGATGCAAGAATTGCGAAATTTCACAAATATTACGAAGATTCCGCAATTGTTAAAAAATAAACTACGTCATCCTGGGGAATCAAAATCATATTTGGAGTTACCTGTGGTATCTGTGATTTACTTCTGAAGCAAGCATTTTACTATCTGACGTGAATGTTCAGAAATGAGCACTAAAAGACGACGGGGTAAAAATGGCCAATTCTCGCAAATCTTACAATTCCACAATTGAGAAAAATTAAACGGCGCCGCCAATAAAAATCAAAATTCCAACTAATCTTAGCTTATGAATGTGTGATAGATTGCTAAAGCACTTATTTGAATAACTGACTTAAAAGCTGCAGAAGGAACGTTGGAAGAAGGCGGTGATAGAATGGCAAAATCTCGCAGATCATATGGAGGTTCCGCATTTGCTAAAAGCCAAACCATGAAGTTTGCGCAAATAAAATTCAGAAATAGTCTTCAGTGAAGCCTCTGTTAATGACCGTGTAAGTCTACATTCAGATAGCTGACAAGATTCATGAGACTTCATGAGACTTAAGTTATAAAAAGACAAAGTGCATGAATCGTCAAACCTCGTGAATGTGACGAAAGTTCCGCATGTAATAAAAAACAAACCATCGATAGTACGGAAACTAAATTCAGCACTGATCTTTGTTGAAGCGTCGTTTAACGACTACAAAAGACCCTATTCGGATAGCAAATGTGAATATTGAAAATTGAGTAGTAAAAGAAGACATTGCAATAATGGCTAAACTACCCAAACTTGATGCAAATTCCGCAATTGATTGAGTAATGAGCAAAAGGGGGAGAGAGTGCAAGAATGGCCAAACCTTGCAAATTTGACTAAGGTTTCGCAATTGGTACAAAACAACCACATTCCAGAAGTAAACCAAACTCAGAACAACTCTTAATTGAGGCTGTTGTTATCGACTGTCGAATCCCGCAATCCCATATCGGACCTGTATGTTGAGAAATTAGCCATAAAACATTACAGGAAGCGTTGCAGAAATGATCAAATAACACAAATATTTAGAAGGTTCCTCAATTAAGAAAAATGAAAAGGTGCAACCTAGAAAAATAAAACTCATAATCAAATTTTATATCTTTAATAGTTTCATTTAATTTTGAAATAAATTGCCTCTTATTCASCGTTTTTTCTTACTACGRCAGCTKAATRTTTTCCTGTGAAAGTATCAAGATTTAGTGGGTTCAGAAAATCGCTCATCTGTTTTTTTTCAGTACGCTCTTTTAATAGATTACGGTAAAGCAGAAMAGTATTTTTTWAAAATTTGAACAACTTGRAAAAACCTCATAGCTCCAAATGTCATAAGAAGTTAAGTATCTCAAACTTCTACTGCTTMATTTGAATAWTGACCCTTAGTTGTACATGCAAATATTTCTTATTCAGAATTTATACTTGATACAGCAAATTATTTTGTTGAATGTGTTTAGACACAAAATTATGAAAATTTCTAACTGTGTTTTCAGTGCCATATTTACCAACTAAACACTTTCACTAGCAATATTGCATACATATTGAATATTTTTTTCAAAAGGAAAACATATTTACAAATAGCTTTGGTTCTAAAACTGGTTGATCTAAAACTGGTAATTCAACAATTTTTACTCTTAGTACAGACTGCTTTATTTTCTCCAGTTCTGGTTTTAGATTAATTCCCCCCTAACACTTTCACAATTCTTCTTTCAAGTCTTGATTAAACACTCGCACGTTGTATCGTACAATACAAAACAGATTTTGTTAAGTTGAAAGGGTAAAATTAAGATCGWATTCGGCGTTTCTTGTCTGCTCTTAAGATGTCTATTATTCTATTGTCGTCATTCACATTTTACATTTCAAATATTCTTCGCAACTTCTGCAATTGTCTGGTATTTACCTTTTTTCCTGTTAGCTTTCATTTTCCTAAGTAATTTTGCATTGTTTTCGACAGGCACTAGACAGTGCCAACTCTCTGGCGAGTCGAGAAAATAATTATAAAATCCAGCAGGGATGTACCAGACCAGAAAAATCTTCTATACAACGTTAGATGCTATTTATGGAAAAATTACAATTATAATAATTGGCCGTGTCGAGGGCAAAAGTTAAAAAGTTTTTTTCGGATGAAAGCTTTCAAAATTTTGTCTGAGTTTGTTTATTATGTTTCGGTTATTAGCAAAATAATTCTCAACGACATGCAAACCAGTACGCTATGAGCAAACATGCTCAGTCCAGATTCACATTTAATGATGTTTCTCGATTTTACAGAAGCATGGACAATTTGGAGAATTTTTATCACATCGAAACGGGAGTTTTTCGCAACTTGAAGCAACTTCAAACTTTGTAAGTACTTTTCGCATCACCCGAATTCCAATTAGTTTTGATTCCCTTTGGAATGTCGGATCAAAATAGCTAGAATGTAATTTTCCAATTTTACTAACTATATTATTGCAAACTAATCTGAGGTGAAAATAATGGGACCTTTATTAAAATTACTGTACGAAGAGCATCAAATGATCCATTTATTTATGAGTTTTAAATACATTTTTCAGTTTTTTAGGTTGCACAAACTCACACATTTAAGTTTGAATGCCACTTAAAAGATGTTTTTTATTACAACGACCCACTACCCATTGGCCTATTTGTGTTTCACCAGGGTTGCAAAAACTCTTCACATCAGGAATCATATTATTTCAGTGGCATCAAAAGTGCTACTGATAATAACCACAAGGCAACCCTCTTAGGTCGGAAGAAATCCCAAAGAAGCTTTGCTATTGTTAAACCTATTTTTCCAACGTTTATTACTATGTTTGAGCCTCAAAAACTGTTATTACTTCATGTGTTTTGCCCATATTTTATGGAATATATCTCCACTGTCCTCATGCAATAGAAATGGGATTTGTTGAAGAAAAGCATTGCTATAAATAGTTAAACAAAACACTATAAATATTTATAGAACTGATTTTTAGAAGATTAAACATAAATAGTGATCTAGATCATACATACAAATTTCTTTCAACTTGTGGGTCAAGATTAAAAAAGGGACTCAGATTTCCTCCAGGAAATTTCTCACTTAAATACCCTGTATCCGGAGCCAACAAGACTTCGAAGAACTTTGAAGCAACAATTTTTCCCATATATGTAGCTTTTAATTCGTTCACTAAAGATTAATCGCATTGCTTTCTAGATTTTAATGTTTTTCTTTCAGGTACATCTACAGAGCTCCAAAGTTGCAGAAAATTCTGCCCGAAATATTTAGTGCATATCTGCCGAATCTGAAAGTAATGTAAGTGAAATTTTTCAAAACTACCATTTAATATTTATCATCGCCATGTATTTAAAATTTTTCCCTCAATGTTTAGTTGGTGCTTTTGAACTTTTAAGTGTTTGTAGTCACTTAAAAGTATAAATTCAGTTAATGAAAAAATGCTTTCAGTGCGAACATCATAGCCATTTATATCTTCAATTCAAGTCACCATACGTGATCTGCAAATAATCATAAACCGCTTTATTAAATTGCGGCAATAAAAAGCATTTTTGAACTGGATTAAACATTGAGCTCGGAAAGCTGAATTATCGCTTGCTATTTTGGTATATTATAGCTGAACAAATTCTCATTCATATGTATGAATGATTTCAAGCAGAATATATGGCTTATTTGGCGAATAACTGAATTGCAATGGTTACAGTTTGGTTCAGAGTAGCACTCAGTTACTGATTGTTTATGTGTTTTTCGTGTAAATAGTTTGAAAATATACTTCGTAGTGATATAGAGAAACCGTTGTCACTTCTCTAGCCAACAATTTTAAACTAATGTTCATCAAACAGTTTATTCATCGTTGTTATTATGCATTATCTGTAAAGAAATATCTGCAGTTTCTGCTTGTCTTTTTAATTTTATCAAGCCGAGATTTACCAGCCAGTTTTAATTATAACTATAAAGCTTTTTCTAAATAATTACGATTAGATTTACTAATGTTAGTTTTGTTTTAATAAATTTTACAACTTTTAAATCTTCACCTTTCTCGATCCTGAGCAGTCTAGACGTTACATGCTAAATCATAGTAAGCTTATTTTGCCTTCTTCCTCGAGTAAAGCGACTACGTATGTTTTCAATTTTTTATCTGTAACTTTTATATTTTTTCCTTTGAGTTGACTTTTGTACGGAGAGACTGCTGCTTAATTAGCAAAGTATAGTTTTCGTAAAAACGTTCCATTGAAAAATCACAACTCAGTCTTTTGTTAACTGGTTTTAAGATATATAATTTTTTTTAAATAGTTTCATTTTATGTTCCACATTTGTTTTTACTGAGTAGCAGTTTTCTAAACGGCTAATAACAAAACACCCAATTTGGATTTTGAATATTTATTTCTGTAAAATTTTGATATTTTCTCGTATGCTAAATAGCAGTAACGAGCAGCTGTTTTAAAATGATCACTCCCTGACTTAATTTGAACCATTTCAAAAATGTACTGCTATATATTTGAGAGCTGATTTAGGGGACTAAGAAATCCATTCATATTCTTCCAATCCGTTCAATCCTGCATTTCGAATTTTTCCTACTCATTCTAGGTTAAATGGATACCATTTATTGACGACTATGAGACTATAGTATTTGTACTATATTTAAGGCCGAAAGCACTCAGTTTTTTTAGACCAAGGAAAAATAGTGTTTCTATTTTCTGCTATTATCAGTTGATCGGGTCATCCAAACGGGATTTAAAAAAAGGATCAAACTCACGTTGATGCAAAGACTGTCCTATTTATAAATTGAATTCTAATTCTAATTAGTCAAGTTAATAAATCAACTTCAATACAATCTTAGTCAAATTTCCAAAACCATGACCTTTTAATAAATTAAAGTTCCTGCAGTAAACTGAATATGCCTGATCGAGACGCAACATCCTTGCAATCAGACATGCCATTTGTTTTATGGCAAGGGGAGGCAATTAATATTCCGGTAGAAGGCGGCGCGATTAAGGAAAATATTAGAGAAAATTTGATAAAATATCTAGTAAATTGCCTTGAATTCTGTCGCAAATTTATACATTTCGGCGCATGGAGGGCAAGAGATGATTAATATACTACCAGAAGTTGCCCGAAAATTAAATTTAAACCAATGATAAAACTGGAATAGTTAAAAATCAAAAATGCTTTTTGTGAAAAATGCAAATTTCATTTATTGTAAAAGTGGTTTTTGCACACAGAAAATAACACGCAACAGAAAATATTTCGATATGTAACCGAGTTTTCTTCGAATTTCGTATATGTAACCGAGTAAATTGTTTAATTCAAGAAAATCCATAAGGAACTTATATGAGATAAACATAATGGGAAAACTAGAAGGAGGACGACGCTGATGGCGGAAAAAAGAAATTGAAGTGTTTTTTTCTACGACGCGAATTAGCGGCTTGTTTCTTTCACCGACATTTTTTCGATTATTTAAAGCTTACTCTAAAAGCTCGTCTAATGTAAAACTGTTGAATTGTTGACATTAAGCCACTTTTTAATGTTTCCTTAAAAATTACCTTGTAATTTATGTTCCAGGAGGATTGTTTATACTGGTCTGCAGCATATCCCCAATTTGAATGGATTAAATACCAGCTCCGTGCTAGACATGGTGTGAGTAATTTTTGGAATATTTAAGAGCATTGTTTCGTTTTGCTTAATAAAACATAATCAAAGGAGACAAAGAAAGGAAAATAAATATGCGAAGTCAAAAACCTCTAGCTCGGTCAAGCTTTTTCGTTCCTCTAAAGGTTAGGGCCTTCGCAAACTGCTATGAAAAGCACAAAAGCACCTTGGCTTGAAACTTGATATATCACACAGACAAAATAAAAGCTTCCCACCACCGACATGCTTCGCTCAACGGATACAGTGGAGAAAAATTAATGTTTTTTCCTTACTCAGGCATAATTACACAAAAGCGGCGCAGCATGTTTGATTTTTGCCCCTCGTTTTAATTTAAACAAAATTGACATCCACTTAAACCTTGGCCCAATTCCAGAGAAAAGAGCGAAAAGGTTCAATTAATTATTGCAACAAAATACGTTGTAGGGCAACAAAAAAGTAAAGTGAATACGAAGATGAAAACCCGGAAAAATGTGATAAAATAATTGTTTCCTAAGCGAGTTTCTAACAAAATAGTTGGACATTTGCGGTCATTACTTGAAATTGGTGAGTTTTTCCAGATGTGGTGGAAAATTGTGCAATCAGGGGATTGCATTTTCAGAGGTCGTTGTCGCGTCGCAAACTGCGCACAGAAAAAAGTGTTTTTACCGTGGCCTAACAGCTGGAAAAACTCACCAGCTTCAGAGTTTGTTCCTTCATGGGTGGCATAATCGAATCTTTTACATACAATAAAGTTAATTGAAGACTTAATATAAGAATAGTCTTCTTAATATAAAGCTGGCATTTTGTTTTCTAATTTCAGAGAGTTGGATCACAACAAAATCAAAAAAATATCCACTCGAGAGATTAGCAATATCGCCTTGAGCCAGCTGTAAGTATAGAAGTATTATGCAAAACTATATTACATCTGATTCGAAAATTCGCTGATAAATTGTTTGCAATTTATCCTACCCGAAAGTTAATAGTTTGGGAAGTACAGGGTGTCAAACTGTAAACAATTTTTTGTTTTTAAATAGATTTTTAACCGGTTTTGTTGTTACCAAAACCAATGTGTTTGGGTATTTTTTTAGAGCGATGAATCGAAATTTCATATTACTTAGCTTGTAGTTTCTAGCACTAGCTGCAATGGTCTGGAGACATTTAAAACATCAGACATTTTTTGCGTTTTAAACTTTTTCTTTCTTGTTGGCAACATCTCATTCTCCGATATTGTTTAAACGAAAAATGTGTACTTTAACTTTCTGAAACTTATAATGATATTGAAAATTATGCTCGAAACTATTGGAGGTCTAGCGTCCTCTGGAAACTACAAACTACGTAATATAAAATTTAGATTCCTCGCACTAAAAATCACAATTTTTTTAGTAGTAATAAACCTGGTTAAAAATGTATTTAAAAAAGCCAAAAATGTTATTAACATTTTGCCACCCAGGACCAACAGCAAAATTCTTATAAAAACAATATGTAAGTGAATTTCCACCTTGTATAACCCTACCGTAGATTTGTAGGGTTACATTGTTTAAATTTTCAATTCCTTGAGTTCTATCCGACACCGATCATGAGTAAAATCCCCGCTTCTGTTAGGCTTATCTTGATATGCAGCTATAGAAACATCCGGGTTCAGATGTACATCTTAAATGATTTCAAAATAACGTTTCGACTTTTTTCGAAACAATATATGGATAAAGTTGCACATTTATTCCCGCAATGCTTTCCCAAAGGACTCATGTTTAAACGGAAGATAATCTCTCAACATACATCCAAAGCTCCTGGTTCATTATTTAACCTAGATTTTCTGCAGTGAGCAAAATTGCGAATGTGTGAGCGAATTGATAGTCAAGAGGAAAAAGATGCCCATTCGCTTATTCCTATAATTATTTATTATATTAATTCCTATATTATTGCCTGACAAAATTATTCCAGAGGAAAACTGCAAAAATTAAATGTAGTTTTATGTTSTACGATCCTTTGTAAATTTGCTCCTAATGTCCATTTATTTTCCAAAACATTTGCATCTGCGTTTCAAGCAGTGTCACTCACATGCTGCCTTACCAAAGCAAAGTTCYTTATATTCACAAGCCAAACTTAGTAAAGTCACATTTAATTTCAGGATTTTAAGCTACAACGAGATTGAAGTAGTGGAAGAAGAGGCTTTTGTTGGCTCGCAGATTGCCTCAATGTAAGCCTACTTTAAGCGCCTGAAATAATACTATCCAATAGCCTTTGAAAAAACCTGTCTACTAAATGTTTCGCTTAGTTAATGGAAAGTGAATTTAAAAAAAAATGTTAATTTTCTATTTAAACTGTCTAGTGAAGTAAAAAATCTGCGGTTGCTAAATGGAAGAAGGGTTTATTTATTTTTAGAGTTCTCAGAGGCAACAGAAATCTGAAGCTATTGCACACAACGGCTTTCCATAACGTGCAGAATCTTAGACTAATGTAAGTAGCTGAATTCAATCGATTTAATTTAAATTGTTTTTACAATTTTTGCCAATTGATGCAACAACATTTAATTTTAGGGCTTTCTCTGAATTTTTTAATTAAAACTGGAATAAGAAAAACGATCCCTTCAAATATTCCTATCAACTATCTGATATTTTCAGTGATCTTTCGGACACCGCTATAACCACTTTACCAACAATAGGCTTGCAAGACATCGACGTTCTGAAAGTTGAAGACACTTATTCGCTGAAAATATTTCCTTCGGTGTTCAATTTCAAGGTAAAAACGAAAGGTTGGAAAACATTTGAAAACTTTTCGTTAATGAGCCTCGATTTGGCTTCAATTAATATTCAACGTCGCATATTTATAGCAAAAAATGTGCCAAGTAATTAATTTCGAACTGGTACAGTTTGAGAGTTTAGAAAACCATTTTCAATGGTTATTCAAAAAAGATGTTACATTTTTGAAATTTCAAAAGCATTAAGTTGGTAGTTTTGTGAGTTTCGTAGTAAACCGGAATTGTATTGAATGTGATATTCGGAGCAGGTTTACCATGCAGTGCGCTCATTTTGGCATATAAATTTTTGGGGAAACGTTTAGACACTTTAGAGGGCACAAAATATAAGTTATATTTCATTGTTGTTTAGGGAATTGCTTGGAATTCTGAGATTTGAAACTTTTGAATATTTTTCCATAGCGTTCCATGCTTTAATTGCAAATATTAAAAAAAGTTATTAACGAAGAAAGTGTAAAAACACAGAAATACAATCGATGAAGAAACAAAATCAAATCTGTTCAGAACCTATGGGAGAAAGTTAGATACAACTTTTTAATAATTTTGTAATATAGTTTTTTTTGCAAAATATACGATAAAAATAGCAAAAAGTGCGCATTGAAGTGTCACACCGCTTTCTCAAAAAATGGTGCACTAAATTTTGAACAAATTTGCACTGTATCGTGTATCAACATCCTACTTTTTAGAGCAAATAGTAAAAACAATAATACAAAAAATAAAGCTTACAATTGAATAACACTAATTCTGGTTTATTGGCGCAGTCACTTAAGAAGGCTTGGCTAACTTACCCCTATCATTGCTGCGCTTTTAAATTCCCAAAGACCCACGATCCCCACGAGTATGAAAAGCATCTGCAAAGTTTCAAGGCACTTCAGGAAACTTTCAAGACAAGTGTGTCAATTATCAGGTAAGAAACACAGTTTTCCTATTACTGTCTGGGTAACTAGGTCGCAACAATGTTCATTAATTATCTGTATCACTGTTGATTGAAACTTTAAGACGTTTAAGATGAAACGTGGTGAAGGAGGAGAAAAAGTTAAAAGCGCCAATAAAAAAAATCTAAGGGACCAAAGAGGGGAAAAATCATAATGATGACATTTGCATATGTGCCATAAAGCATTAAAACGTTAAGTTGTAATTTTTGCAGTTGGGCCTTAAATAACACCCCAGAATCAGTTGTCAATTACACGGAAGAACCAGAAGTTTGGTCTGAAGGAAATGGGATTTTTCACGACGTTAAAAGAATTGCAGTGCGACCTATTTATAGTTATCCGCCTTTTATGGACTTCACAGAGGTACAAATTTAGAATTCTACTTTTTTGGTTATTTGTTTATAGTCCCAAACTGTTGGCACTTTCCGATAAAAGGACCAATAATTTGTTTAAAATTTAAAATTTATTTGGCATTCGATTGAAAATTGCGTTTCAAACTTGGAATCTCTTTTAAACACTGACTCACACAAACATCTCACATTAAACTATGACGAAAGTGTTCAATTTAGAAACATGTTTTCGGTTTCGATCGATCAGATCCGATCCGAACCGTTTTAGCACAAAAATAGGATAAATAGGAAAAAGCGATGAGCCGATGAGAATCAAGAAAATGTTTTATTAAATAATTAAGCGTGCATTATATTGTTAGGTAGAGTGTTTTCCGGGACCAGATGCCTTTAATCCCTGCGAGGACCTTATGCTAAACTGGGGTCTTCGAATTCCTGTTTGGATTATTGCGAGTTCAGCTGTAGTCGGTAATCTCTTCGTTTTAATGGTAATCAGCACTTCCCATTTCAGGTCAGTTCAAACTGCAATTTATGCGCTTTTACAAATCCTTGTTGCTTCTGTTTTGATTAAGAGAACGGTTTAGTCACCGTAAAATACTAATATTTACATTAATATATAAATATTAATGACTCCCTTGGTTACAGAATTAATCAACTACTGTACCTAAATCATGCTCGTCCAAAATTAATTAACTTTGCAGGTTTACAGTCTCAAAGTTTCTTATGTGCAATTTGGCTGTTGCTGACTTATGCATCGGAGCTCATTTGCTCCTGTTAGCGGGAATTGATGCTCACTCTATAGGATCATATTTCAATTTTGCTATCGACTGGCAAGAAGGTAAGTTTTATGCATCTTTTCAGTTAAGAGATTGTTTGCAGACGGCAGAGTTTTCTCCAAGATAAATCGCTGTGCAAAATAATGCAATGTATCTTCTAGTGTAATTCTGAGTACTGAGATGGTTGGATTATACAAGAGTGCAGGAACTCTAAAAATTCCCATATATTAGCATAACATTAAAGCTAAATTTCTGGCAAATGTGAATACAGTGAACTTTTAGAGCTATTTCAATGCGTATTTATTTTTTAGACTAGATCCAGTTTCAATACAATTCCCATATAGAGTCTTTAATCGCACTAATTAAGCCCTGATTGTGAATGGATAAGATCAAATTACCGCTATTTCAATCAAATGTTTTTCAATGGAGCTGCAAAACTTAGTCATATTTGAAAATGTACTACAAATTGTTTAGTAAACTTTACAAGTTGTGTTTCAATGCGTCAATTATGGAGCGAAGCAAACATTTTTTTGGATAATTAATTTGCTGCAAAAGTCCCAGTAAAGCAGGTTTTAAGCAGGTTCATACGTTTTCATCCTCAAACCATTTGTTTAATGGAGCTAAGGAAGGGAAAAGCAACATTGGGTTATGGCTAATTTCTTTCATTGAGCCAATGTAAGACGTTCAGCAGCAAACCATTTCGCCGTTTCTTTATTTCTTTTAGCAAAATTAATTATTTCGAATAGTTTATTACCCATGTTATGATATGAAGCCCAAATCACTTCTGCTAGTTTTTTGTCTTACGTTTATACGTTTACGCCCCTTGTGTAATATCAGCATGATTTTCCTCATTTTCTCCGTCAGGCTTCTTGCAATAAAGTTTAATAGCCTGAATCATATGTTGGGGCATTTTTCTCCCATTTAATGGAAAAAAAACATGATTTGATTTTTATTGTTATCATCAATTTTATAAGGTATGTGTTATGTGAAATTCGCATTGTTTCATGGTCGTTTACTATCGACTGTAAAGCTGCTGGAATTAAACTCCTCTTTTCCAACCAGTCAAGTTTCAAATTTTTACTTCACAAAGGAAACTGTGAATATATTGTTTCATTGGTATGTTTGAAAATGAGTAAAAAAGGCAGTCTATTTTCAGATGTTAAATCGAATTAATTTAACATGATCTTCTTTAGGTTTTCTTCATTGAGAAATTTTAAAAACTGGATGTATAATGAGATTACATTGTTTAAAGATTAAAAGTAAATAAATTATGATTAATTTTGCAGGATATGGATGTAACGTGGCTGGATTTTTGACAACATTTGGCAATGTTCTATCAGTTTACACGTTGGTAGTCATTACCATCGAACGCTGGTAAGATAATTACAAATTTATTAATTTATTCATGTCAATTAGTAGAAGTTAAACGGAGTATAGAAAGTATTTTTAATAAATAAATAATATCACTGTTTTCTGCAAATTCTATTATGTATTAACTTATAAT